AGACACACAAAAGATGGGAAGACATCCCATGTTCATGGATTGGAAGAATCAATATTGTCAAAATGGCCATACTACCCAAAGCAATCTACAGATTCAGTGCAATCCCCATCAAACTACCAATGACATGCTTCACTGAAATAGAAAAAAACAATCCAAAAATTTACATGGAACAACAAAAGACCCCAAATAACCAAAGCAATCTTGAGCAAAAAGAACAAAGCAGGAGGCATCATACTCCCTGACTTCAAGTTACACTACAAATCTATAATAGTCAAAACAGCATGGTATTGGCACAAAAACACACACATAGACCAGTGGAACAGAATATAGACTCCAGAAATAATTCCATGTACCTACAGCCAATTGAATTTTGACAAAAGAGCGAAGAACATACATTGGGGAAAGGACAGTCTCTTTAATAAATGGTGCTGGGAAAACTGGAGATCCATATGCAGAAGAATGAAACTGGACACCTGTCTCTCACCATATACCAAAGTCAACTCAAAATGGATTAAAGACTTAAATGTTAGACACAAAAATATAAAACTTGTAGAAGAAAACATAGGGGAAATGCTTCAAGACATAGGACTAGGCAAAAACTTTATGAACAAGACCCCCAAAGCACAGGCAACAGAAGCAAAAATAAAGAAATGGGATTATATCAAACTAAAACTTCTGCACAGCAAAGGAAAAAATCAACAAAGTGGAGACACAACCTGCAGAATGGGAGAAAATATTTGCAAACTATGAAAGGGATTCATATCCAGAATATACGAGGAATTCAAACAGCCCAATAGTAAAAAAAAATTTTTTTTTGATTAAAAATGTGCAAGGGAACTGAATAGACATTTCTTGAAAGAAGACATGTGAATGGTCAATAGGTATGTGGAAAAGTGCTCAACGTCACTAATTACCAGAAAAGTGCAAACCAAAACCACAATAAGCTATCATTTTACCCCACTTAGAATGACTATTATCAAAAAGACAGAAAGTAACAAATGCTGACAAGGATGTGGAGAAAGGGGAACTTTTATACATTGTTGGTGGGAATGTAAATTAGCACAGCCATTATCAAAAACAGTACGGAGGTTTCTCAACCACAGATACGATCCAGCCATAGGTATATATACAAAGGAAAGGAAATCAACAAGTCAAAAGGATACCTGCACTCCCATGTTTATCTCGGCTCTCTTTACAGTAGCCAAGATTCAGAACTAACCTAAATGTCCATCAATGGATGACTGGATAAAGAAAATGTGGTATATATACACAATGGAATACTACTCAGCCATAAAAAAAGAATGAAATTCTGCCATTTGCAGCAGCATGGATGAGCTTGGAGAAAATTATTGTACATGAAATAAGCCAGGCACAGAAAGAGAAATAATGAATGTTCTCACTCATGTGAAAGCTGAAAAAATTGATCTCACGGAAGTAGAGAGTAGAATAGTGGTTACTAGAGACTGGTGCCGGGGGCGGTGTAGGAAGAAGGTAGTCAACAGAAACAAAGCAGTAGAGAGATGGGAAACACAAGATCTACTGTTCTATAGCAATATAGGGAGACTACAGTCAATGACAAATTACTGTATCACTTCAAGTGGTTAATTGAGGTGATTCTGAATGTTTCCAACACAAAGAGATGCCAGATGCTTGAGGAGATAGATATGCTAACTCCCCTGATATAATCATTGCACACTGTATAAATGTACCTAAATATCACACTGTACTCCATAAATATATACAATTTTCATGGGTCAATTAAGAAAGAATAAAAAAGAAGGGCCAGCCCGTGGCTCACTTGGGAGAGCGTGGTGCTGACAACACCAAGTCAAGGGTTAAGATCCCTTTACTGGTCATCTTTTAAATAAATAAATAAATAAATAAAAATTAGAAAAAAAGAAAAGGAAAGAAAGAGCGAGTAAGATGCCAGTTACCAGACTCAGAAGCTGGGGGTAGGGGGGGGAATGGGCAGAAGCTGGTAAACAGGTACAAAGTTACAGAGTGACAGTTCAATGGGAAGAATAAATTCTGGTGCTCTAGGGTGACAAGAGCTAGTAATATAGCATTGTATATCTCAAGATAGCCAGAAAAAAAGTTCTTGAATGTTATAATCAGGAAGAAATGATAACTGCTTAGGTGATAGATACGCTAATTATTCTGAGTGGATCACACAATATATGCGTGTATTGAAACAACAAACTGTACACCATAAAAATGCACAATGAATATAAATACATTTTTTAAAAAAGATTGCATCAAACAAATATAAAGACCTCTTAGGAGAATAAGAATGTCTGAGTCCAGTACTGTGATATTCTGATCCCTTTAGAAGGAAATTAGGTTCATTTTAGCAATCACCGTAAACTGGGGAAACGGGTGCGGAGGGGTGGGGAAGAGCAGTTTGGCTCTATCTGACCTCCCCACCCTGGCCCATCTGATCCATACCCACCTGATATGATGTACATCAGATGGGAAGACGTGGATGTGGGCTGTGGGCAGTGTTCTATACTTGCCAGTCCCTTTGGAGCTATTTGGGAGCTATAACCACCGTGGTTACCACTTCCTATGAATCAGGCCCTGGGTTGAGTTTTTCACATGCGTGTTTTGTTCTTCCCAAACTGTATGAGGTAAGTGCAATAATTATGCGTGTTGTTTGGATGAGGAAGCTGAGGCTCAGGGATACTGAACAGTACGATGAAGCCGGAATCTGAACTCAGATCATTCTAATTCCAGCATCAGGGTTCGGAGCCACTGCACTGTCGTGCAGCTTGGCGTAGACTGTGAAGCAAAGGCTTGGAGCTGGAAAGGCCTCGCTTTGTATCCTTGCTCCTTCTTTTCTAGCGCCGTGACCTTGGGCAAGTTAGTTAACTACTTTGTGCCTCAGTTTCCTCCTGTGTAAAGTGGAAATAATCCTATCTGCCCATCAGTGTTGTGGCTATTAGATGTAACGAATGTAAAGGCCCTCGGGCATTCTTTTCACATGTAGTAGCTGCAAAACAAATTATGAGTATGTTACAAGGAGAGGCATATGTCCTCCGCATCTTACTCCGGATTTCACAACTTGCACTGTTTCAAGAGACCCGAAGAGGCCGCTTCCCTGGGGAAGGTCACCCAAAAATAACTTATGATGGGACAGCTGGCCTGTAGATTGGCCTCATGTATCCATGCAGAGGCCCACCCGCGACTCTGGCATGTGCATGACTCACATTTCGATCCTCCTAGGAATGAGTTTAATGTTTTCAGCTTAGTTACATAGTGGTTTCATCTAAAGGAAGAAAATTAAGATGTCAAACATTTTACAGTTTATTAGTTTCTGTTCTAAGTCCTGATAAAAATACTTTTATCATCATTATCTAAAATGACTGACTTTTTGAGTGCCTGTTCACACAATGTATGAAGAGAATGGGCTGGTACAGGCCTGGCCTTGGGGAGCTCACGTGCAGAAGGTCTGCTGACTATCTAATCGCACCTAAACCAAGTGCAATTAGATAGTCATCCTATTCATCAAATCCAGGTCAAGCACACATGCTGCTCTCAAGGGTTTGCTAAAACTGCAGAAAACTCCAAGAGACAAATGGAGGGAGTTCCATGCACAGCCAAGGAGACAGTGTGTGACACCCCTCCAATCAGCACCTGCATGCCTCCAGCCCCCGTGTCTTCCCTGTCAGGCACTCTCCATCCTTCTGCCATGCATCCATGTTGCCCAAATAACTGAGAAACTCCTGGGCTCTCACCTCTGGCGTCATCCTGCGCCATGCCCAGACCCCAGTTCCAGGGATCGCTCCTGCCAGCCAGCAAGGCATTTATTTGCAGGATGGCAAGAGATTGGGTCTTCAAGAGGGTGCTGACCTGATGATTTTGGGAGACTCAAATTGTTTATATTAAAAGGGGCCCTTGGGCCGGCCTGGTGGCGCACTGGAGAGTGCGCTGCTTGGGAGCATGGCGGCGCTCCCGCCGAGGGTTCGGATCCCATGTGGAGACCGGTTCCCGCTCACTGGCTGAGCGTGGTGCGGGCACAACACCGAGAGTTGCGATCCCGTTGCCGGTCCCCGGTGCGGGCGCGACACCAAGGGTTGTGATCCCATTACCGGTCAGTAAAAAAAGACAAAAAGGAAAAAAAAAAAAGGGGGGCCCCTTGGACAATTTTGCCTGGAATGGTACCCTTCACACACAGGGGACAGCCCACTTACAGTAAGTCTAGGTGTGGACAGTATTTTTAAATGTTAGTTTTTTTTTTTTTTTTAATTTTAATTTTCTTCTCTTCCCAGAGATTACTAGTACAAATTGTTAAATAGTTTGCCTTATTATTGCCACATGTTTAAATTTTACTGTTTGTTATATGTCTAAGGGTGTTTCTTTTTAATTTTCAAATATCTAAAGCCTCCTGCTTTTCCTGAGCAAAGGTGTGAGGTGATGAGCACAGTCCATTTAGGAAGACTAATTTGGTAACAATACAGATGGCAGGTAGGAATGGAAAATATTTGGTTCTGGAAGAATCACAGCAGGAAGACGTGGAGCTAGAAGAGGAAAGGCACCGGAGAGCTTGGTAGAGAGCAGTAAAGCCAGAGAGACATCCCCATGAGGAAATAGCAAGACCTGAAAGCAGATCGGGTAGGAGGAGTATTCTGGAATAGTTTCCAGCCCACGCAACACCAGGGAGGCATCAGAGCCCACATCATGGAAGGGGCTCTTTTCCAGCCATTGTAATAAGAGCTGTATTGCCCCTGTTAAGACAGTGTTTGTAAGACTTCAGGTGACTTATATGCCAGTCAGTCATGTATGAACTACCTAAATATGTGCCAGTGCATTTTATCATGTGACATGGACTGTGCATTGCTGTGCTAGAATGCGCTGACCCCTGAAGCCAGGATTGGGAACTTGAGGGCCCTGATAAAAATTCAAGGAATTTAAAACGAGTATGTGTGGTCATTTTCATTAGTCACTGTTCCTGCAAATGTGGTTCCATGTGGTTCAAGTATATGGATTTTTTTCTTCTTTAGGTAATTGTTTTTCAGACATACACAAATCAACATCATGTGCCCATTGAGGCAAAATATATCTTTCCTTTGGATGATAAGGCAGCTGTGTGTGGCTTTGAAGCGTTCATCAACGGGAAGCACATCGTAGGAGAGGTAAGGGGAGAAAGTGCATTGCAACCACTCTGTGCTTTCAAAGTCAATTTCCCATTTACTGAAATCTTCGTTATCTGAGTCCCTGTGGATGCAGGGTTGAGTAGCAGCCTTATCATAAAACAAAAATATTCTTTGGGCCGGCCCGGTGGCGCACTGGAGAGTGCGCCGCTTGGGAGTGTGGCGGCGCTCCCGCCGAGGGTTCGGATCCCATGTGGAGACCGGTTCCCGCTCACTGGCTGAGCGCGGTGCGGGCGCAACACTGAGGGTTGCGATCCCGTTGCCGGTCCCCGGTGCGGGCGTGACACCGAGGGTTGCGATCCCGTTACCGGTCAGTAAAAAAGACAAAAAGGAAAAAAAAAAATTCTTTGAAGAACAAACGTTTGTGCAATCAGCCTCCAGTCAAACGTCCCTCCCTGTTAACTGTTTTCTGTTCTTACCTGTCCAGTCTTTATCGTCAGTGTCTTGCAAATTTTTTGCCTGGGCACTTTAAAAAAGAGTGATTTCAATATCAGAAGTTTAAGAGAGGCACATTGGAAAATTAGTGAAGCCCTCATATATTTTTGCCAAAACATCCTTCTCATCCTGCTTAAAAGTCAAGCTGAAGTAAAAGCTATTATTGTAAATTTCTAAGAAAAATTGTACCAAAAGAAATAGTAGTTGATTTATTCTTTGTTTATTCTAAGAATTAGCCCACAGTTGCAATTATATATAACACACAATTTATTGAGTTTAAAATAAACTTTATTATTTTTTTGTTCAATGTAAAGTTCCAACCAAACTGTTTTTCCACTATTGACTCTGAAATATTTTGGTCCCAACATAAAGAGAATTCTCTTTAGTTTGCCTTTTCTAGTCCAAATCCTTATTACATAAGTACATTTTTATGATAACCTTATATAACTTTCCTTTCATCTTAGATGCTTAGTTTCCTGTTTTTACCTAGGTTTAGTGAACACTGATGTAACTTTCCTTAGTAAAGTCTAAAGTCCCTCTTCATATAATGACTGGTGTAAAAATAATCTTTTCCAGATTAAAGAGAAGGCAGAAGCCCAGCAAGAATACCGAGATGCCGTCAGCCGAGGCCATGGTGCCTACTTGATGGACCAGGATGCTCCGGTACGGCTGGTGCTCACCAGCAGTCAGTGTGCTTACAAGAGAGGGAAGAAGAGTTGGAAAAGGGTTTGAAATACGAGACTTATACTAGAGATCAAGATAACTTCCACTCTCTCAGAGTTTCACTTGCTGTGTGCAAGGGTAGGCCAAGCCCGTCAGACCCATTTGACTAGTCCAAATAAGGAGGATATTACCAAACAGCTATTTCTGTCCTGGGGAACTGACTTTCCCAGAAGTGGCAACAAAAAGAAAACATTTGGGGTATATAATTTTTATCTTCTGAGAAGAGAGTGTGATATATTTACATTTTTCCTAGAACTAAGTTCAGTTAGCAATTTATCCAATTTTTACCAAATCATAACCCAGAAAGGCATTTCTACACAGCTGTGAGATGGGTCCAGCTTCTTTGCTTTCTGATTATTGCTTTAACAGGAACGTAATGTGGAGAGTCTGGAAAAAGGAGCAATTATCACGCCACTAGATTACTTTTGTTAAATATAAGGTGTTTTAAATGTGCCTCTGGCAGGTGCTGGATTACATGCAGTGTCTGACCATGCCTTGACTGCATGGTAGTAGTTTCTGCAGATGGGGTTGTGTGCTTCAGGTATTAACTCTGAGGATGACACTTTGCCTTAGTATTGTGAAAGGTTAATGTTTGTTGGGGTTAGGGATGTATGAAAGATTAATGTAGATTTAGGGTGTAAATTACTACTTTTGACAGCTAGGGTAACTATTTGCCAGATAGTGATAAGCAACGAAGAGATGAGGATTAAAAGTTAATACTACTAGCCCTGGCCAAACTGTGTTTATAAAAGCCTGCGGTTCATTTTAGAGACTGATGCTTAATAGTGTGGAGTTACTGTCAGACATGAGTTGGTAAATTTGTTTCCTAGTTTGTACTAACATATTTTTCTAGGGATATGATCCACAGGAAAACGGTATTCACAAAAGATATTACTTTCGGGTAAAGTCTGGTCAGAACTACTGCCAACTCAAGCCATGGTTTCCCTATATGAATTTTGCTGTCTAGTGACTTTGATGTTCTCATGCTATAATAATATATGATATCATCATAAAATACATATATTTTGTTATATATTACTATATGTGTATTAAGTTATATGTTTATATTATTAGATATTTCATATATTAGTCTTCTGATAGTGGGGAATATTGTAAATCATATGCATAGCCTATATATAATATAGTAATATATATTGTGTGTTGCATATATGTTCCCAAGAATCAAAAGATGTTATTTGACACACACACATATGTACAGTATAAAATGTTTCCAACTCTCTTCTAGTTTTAGACATCCAAAGTGTTGAGAGACGGATCATTTGTGTTGGAATGTTATATGGAGATGCGTTAAGATTAATCAAATTGGGCCAAGCCCTTGGCGCACTCGGGAGAGTGCGGCGCTGGGAGCGCAGAAGCGCTCCCTCTGTGGGTTCGGATCCTGTATAGGGATGGCCAGTGCGCTCAAAGCGCTCACTGGCTGAGTGCGGTGCGGCCAGTCTCAAAAAGGACAAAAAAAAAAAAAAAAAGATTAATCAGATTAATGCTGTGTATCAGAAATCTGGATAACGCTGGGAGAAGCATGTCTTGCAATGAAGAGCTAGGTGGCGTTCTCCAACCCTTCCTGCTCTACACCTCTGCAGTCCTTTCTTCACCCCAGCTGGCTTCTTTGTTCTCTGCATAAAAATTGCTATTTTAATCCTTTACCATTCTCCTTAACCCAGCAACCTTACCTGTATCTCCACTATCAGTAGGTGACCCCTCTTCTTATTTCAAATGAAAACAAGTGTAAGTCATGAATCCCTTTAGCTTTCCTCCCTCCAGCTCAAAAGTGACATCCTCAGCCTCATCTTTTTCCTCCCTGATTATTTCTAATGCTGATCCCTTCCCCCGTCCTATCTCATCTCATGTAAGCTTTCCCTAGCATGTGCCCATCCATCATTACCTCTCTGTATTTCCATTTTCTCCCTCACGACTCGCTTTTTCTCCTTGACCTAGCCACCCTAAAAAATAAAGCAGACCCTCGCTGGCTCCTTCTTCTCCCCTCAGATTCCCACCCCTTTACTCTCCTTCTTTCGACATGAGACTTAGCCACTTTCCCACAGACCATCCAGTTATCCTCCTGCTAAGTGTTCCTGCAATCTCCAAAATGGCAAAAAGCAGCCACTCCGTGTCATCCTAAATGATGCTGTTGCCTACCTCTTTCTTCACTTCATGATTAGACCAACTTTAGCACCTATGCCAGACGCTGGCAGTTTAGAAATGCCAGCTGGTCCCATGTGGGTGCATGGTCTAGCATGCCCAGCAAGTGTAGTGCTGGGGACATGCCTTTCCCGCACTAACGGAGCAGTGGAACAGCAAGGCAGTGACCTCGGGTGTGCCTTTCCAGGGACAGAGGCACTTGAGCTGAGCAGGCATTCCCCAGGTACACCATGAGGTGAGGGCCTTGCGAGCACAGGGGACACAGTGCAGGCTGTGAGAGACCTGAAGTAGTGCCATTCCCTGGGAAAATAGGTGTATTTTGGCCTGGCTGGAGTAGCAGTGATGAGACCTGTCTGTGAGAAAGCACACTCAGCAGGCAGTGAGAAGTCTGGAGGGGCAAGACCAGTTAGGTGACCATTGTGGTAGAGTAGAAGGAGGGCCTAAACTAAGGTAGTGACCTTGGAAAAGGAGAAGATGCAACTGCTGTGGACAATTTAGGGAGGTGGAAGGACAGCCCTGGGTAAGGGGTGGAGGATGTGTGGAGGGTGTGCCAGAGTAAATGGAGCTGAGGATAGTACTTGGGCAGTTCTGGTGTGGGCATCCCCAGGGCAAGGATCACAGCAGTGGGGTTCTACACGGGTGTTGGAGTAAGGAGGGTGGGGAGATCATGAGTTCAAGAACTGGTGGGACATTGTGAGCACAAGTCCCTGAAGAAGCTGGATATAGGGTCAAGAGCTCAGGAGAGAGATCTGCACTGGGCATGGGGGTCTGGGAGTCATCCTGGCAGTCTCTGAGATGATGGCCTGGGGGCAGATTGGGCATTATCCAAGGATGCAGCCCGGAACACCTGCCTTCAAATGTTGTGTGGTAAAAGCAGAAGCAGAGAAGGACTTGGGCTGCCCTACCCAGGGAAAGCTGCCTAGCACACCATTACCACTTCCTTAGGTCTAATTTTATCTGAAATTATATATATATTTTTTTCCTCTCTAAGATTTCTTGGGTTAAGGCACAATAAAGTCTTTGTCTAAACTACTAGAATAAAATTTATATTGGCCCATCTTTGGTATATACATAAATTCATCTTTCATTTAATAATTTTTGAAGTCAGGTTATAAAAGGAACGAGAGTGCTCATTAAAATAAATCAGTAATTTAAAATTTTAAGTTAAAAAATAAAAAACACATACTTATTAAGTAATATGCCTAAATCCCATATGCAGTTAATCATCTGTTGAAGTTTTCTACTAAGTGTCTGTGGAATCCGCCCATGTCATCACCTTACTATAACCCTTTCTCTAGTTTAGGACCCACAGGTTGTTCCCTTGTTTCGTTAACATGGCGCAGGAGGCCTTCGAAGACTTGGCTTTGTCTGCTTCTTCTGTCTCACTCATTGTGTTCTCCCTTGTACTTCATACCCCAATAAGCTTGAGCTATTTGTATTTCCCAGAAACAATGCCATTTGCAGAGGTGCTTGCTCTTCTGGATGGAATGTTCTAACTACATTTGTTTGCTTGATTTAAAAAAATATATATATTGATTTTAAAAACTTTTTAAAATGTTAGCTTAGGAATCCCTTTATCTAAGAGGAAATGAAAGCTTTTCCTGCTTTTCCCCAGGAAAAGTTAGATGCAATTACTTTCTGCTTCCATGGCAACCTCGACATATCTGTCATGTAGCTCTTAACATGCTATTTGTAAAGATAGAAGTATAAAGATGTAAATACATATATATATGTATATATATATATATATAAATATCTAATTGTAAATCTCTGTATTTATGTATTTATAATTACATATTAAAATATCCCCAATATTTAAGAGGGGAAGTAACAGAAAAAGACAGGAAAGAGTTAATGGTAAAATAATAAGAGAACTGTGTTGCCACAACCAAGGCTGGAGTGAATGCTCAGCCAGCACCACTTACATCCTCCTAATTGCCAGATTAAATGGCAGTGTTTCTGAGACCTCCATTTATGGGATTATTTGACCATTTTTCCTCTTTTAAAAATCTAGACTGACTTATTTTTCACCATAACTCTATACTATTTAGACAGGATATAGTCAAGTTTTGTTGTTTCATCCAGTCTGACAGTCTCTGCACCTTAAGTGGATTGTTTTGACCATTTTCATGTAATGTGGTTACTAATCTGGTTGGATTTGCATCTCCCGTCTGGCCAGTTGTTTTCTTTTTTTTTTTTTCCTTTTTGTCTTTTTTCGTGACCGGCAACGGATCGCAACCCTCAGTGTCGCGCCCGTACCGGACCAGGACCGGCAACAGAATCGCAACCCTCAGCGTTGCCCCCGCGCTTCGCTCAGCCAGCGAGCGGCCGGTCTGTATGTGGGATCCGAACCCTCGGCGGGAGCGCCGCCGCACTCCCAAGCGGCGTACTGCAGCAGTGTGCCACCGGGCCAGCCCAGGCCAGTTGTTTTCTGTTTGTCCCATTTGTTCTTTGTTCCTTCCCCTCTCTTTTCCTGCCTTCTTTGTACTGAGTATTTTTTATGATTCTTTTATCACCATTATTGGCTTATTAATTATACCTCTCTTAACAACTTTTGGTTTTTGCTCTCAAGCTGCATGTTAAAATACAGTAGCCACTAGTTACATTTAAGTTAGTTTTTAAAATAAAATAAAATGTTTGCATGTGTCTAGTGGCTGTGTTATTGGTTAGTCCATCTATAGAACATTTTTATCATCATAGAAAGGAATATTGGTCAGCACTGCTTCAGGCTTTACAAGGTACATCTTCCACTTACCACAGTCTACCTTGAAGTAATATCACACTACTTCAAGTATAGTATGAGAACCTCACAACAGTATACTTTCATTTCCCCCCATATCTTTGTGCTATTGTTGTGTATTTTATTTCTTCATATGTTATAAATCCCACAACATGTTGTTACTTTTTTGCTCTAGATATTCAACTGTCTTTTAAAGCAATTAGAAATAAGTAAAAAAATTTCCATCTGGTATTATCCTCCTTCTGCTTGAAGAGTTCTCTTTAACATTTTTTTTTTTTTGCAGTGCAAGGGTGCTCTCAAGGAATTCTCTCACCTTTTGCTTATCTGATAAAATCTTTCACTTTCTTTTTTGAAATACATTTTTGCCATGGTCATCTCTGAGTCTGTTCTGTTAATTGCTTTATCTCTTGACATTTGGTCATTTTTTTCTTGCTTTTTTTATGTGTATATTTTGGAATTTGTGATTGAGTTCTGAACATTGGGTGTAGAAGAAGAGTAGAGGCTAAAACAAATGGTATTTATGCCAGAAATGGCCACTCCTGTCCTGTCAGGCTGTTAGTGTAGGGGTCACAAAGTTGAGTCGAGTTTGGGTTTTGTTGTGATTATGACCCTCAGTGCACCATCGTCTTCAAATTACTCCAGTAGTGGGCTGCCATTACCAGGTGCATGGTGGGTCCTGGGATGCCAAAGGGCTTTCCTTGGCGTTCATGCACTACCCTCACTTTCAGCAGGCCCTGAACACTGTCCCACAGAGGTGGCTTTGCCATGCTCCTGTCCCTCCCCTAGTGGTAGACTGCTCTTCCTTGACACTTGGTGCTAGGCTCGTGGTGGGGGCAGGGGTGTTCTGTTCAGCTTCAGTCTTAGGCAGGACCTGTGCTCCTGGGCATTACAGTGGGGACTTCTCTGCATTTCTGCACCTTCTCCCACCACAGCAGCAGCCAATTCTGCCTTGTGTCTGTTGAGAGAAAGCTTCTCTAGTTCTGTAGCCATGGGTGGAACTGGTGCTGGAGCAGTGGAGGTTGGGGAGGCCAAAGGTTCTTCAAGAAGGGGGCTGTGTGGGCCGGCCCGTGGCTCACTCGGGAGAGTGCGGTGCTGATAACACCAAGGCCCCGGGTTCGGATCCCACATAGGGATGGCCGGTTCGCTCAATGGTTGAGTGTGGTGCTGACAACACCAAGTCAAGGGTTAAGATCCCCTTACCGGTCATCTTTTAAAAAAAAATAAAAAAATAAAATAAAATAAAATAAAAAGAAGGGGGCTGTGTGGAGGCCGTCCACTCGACAAAGCCCATGTGTGCGAGGCCACAGTGCAGATCCATTAGGTGATGCTCCCCCGTGCAGCTGCCAAGGGGCCTTCTCTTCTTCCACCTCCCGCACATGTCACTCCGTCTCTACCACTGGGAATGGCTCCAGGATTCTCCTTAGCACCACCAATGTGTTTTGTAGGTTCTATTACCATTTTCTGAGGAAGAACCTGGCAGATTTTAATCCAAGTTGAGTAACTATGAGTGATTAACTAGCATAGAACAGATTCTTTTGGCTTGAAAGTTGTCATATGTTTCTGTTTCAGGACGTTTTTACTGTGAGTGTTGGAAACTTACCCCCTAAGGCGAAGGTGCTTATCAAGATCACCTACATCACAGAACTCAGCATCCAAGGTGCTATTGCTGTCTTCTTCATGCCTGCCTCCGTAGCGCCCTGGCAGCAAGACAAGGCTTTGAATGAAAACCTTCAGGTTTGTATGTTCAAGACAAGATATGAAGAAGCATTTTGGGGGAGGTTTATGCATAGGCGAGAAAAAATATCTGAAATAATCTTTTCAGTGTATAAAGTCAATTGTACTGGCATTTATGCATTTGGATGCATTATATCTGTAAAATGAAAAGAATAAAAGACACAGATATGTTCAATGGGCATAAGATTTTTAATTTGTTCAGTCACTCAAAACGTTTTGTTATCTGTATTGCATGTTCATCATGAAGAATTTAGATAAGCATAGAGTATGCAAATAAGCCAAAAGAAGAAAGTAAAAATCATCCTTAATTCCATTGCCCATACATGGCCTGGTTAATGCTTTGGTATATATCCTTCCACACTTCCTAACTTTGTATGTATATTTTTGTGTGAAGAGCACTTTGTATGGAGGGCACTTTTAAAAGTTCATGAGAGATTCTATGAAATTTTCAAGGTACCCTCATGTATATAAAAGTGTGTGCATATGTGTGTGTATACACGCACACAGGCATATGTAAGAGTTGAAAATCTCTGACAAAATGGTTATAATTGCTCCCTGATATTAGTTGTACTTTAGAAGTTCCTGTCATTACATCAGCAAATGCTCTGTGTTTCACTACTTAGAACTGAAACCAGCTGTCTCGTTGCTGTTCTCAGTTGTGGCCTTACTGAAATTACATTAGTTTAGAGCCTCAATGTGAAAACTAATAGATACGGGGCCGGCCCGGTGGCGCACTGGATAGTGCGCCGCTTGGGAAGCGCGGGGGCGCTCCCGCCCGAGGGTTCGGATCCCACATACAGACCGGCTCCCGCTCACTGGCTGAGCGAGGCGCGGGAGCAACACCGAGGTTTGCAATCCCGTTGCCGGTCTCCGGTCCGGTACGGGGGCAACACTGAGGCTTGCGATCCGTTGCCGGACACGGAAAAAAGATAAAAGACAAAAAAAAAAACAAATAGATACTTAGTTATCCATATATACTTTTCCTTTAACAGGATCTGGGGGTTGCGATCCGTTGCCGGACACGGAAAAAAGATAAAAGACAAAAAAAAAAACAAATAGATACTTAGTTATCCATATATACTTTTCCTTTAACAGGATCTGGGGGTTGCGATCCGTTGCCGGACACGGAAAAAAGATAAAAGACAAAAAAAAAAACAAATAGATACTTAGTTATCCATATATACTTTTCCTTTAACAGGATCTGGGGGTTGCGATCCGTTGCCGGACACGGAAAAAAGATAAAAGACAAAAAAAAAAACAAATAGATACTTAGTTATCCATATATACTTTTCCTTTAACAGGATCTGAGGGTTGCGATCCGTTGCCGGACACGGAAAAAAGATAAAAGACAAAAAAAAAAACAAAAAAAACTAATAGATACTTAGTTATCCATATATACTTTTCCTTTAACAGGATACAGTAGAGAAGATTTGTATAAAGGAAATAGGAACAAAGCAAAGGTTAGTACTTAAAATATAAAACTTGTCAATCATTCAATGGACATTAGTTTGATGGTTTAAATTTTCCTTTAAATTATGTGAAACAACTTCAGGAAAAATTTAAGGTATGAGACTAAAACACTCTTCTCATTTTTGGTAGCTTCTCTTTGACTATGTCTATTGAGATGCCATACGTGATTGAATTCATTTCCAGTGATACACATGAACTGAAACGAAAGGTTAGTGAATGTCTAATTTCTTTTCCTTTTTAAAAAATCTTTCTTTCTTTTTTTAATTTGTTTAATTTTTTAGCTCCCACTTATGAGTGAGAACATGAGATATTTCGCTTTCTGTGCTTGGCTTATTTCACTTAACATGATTTTCTCCAAGCTCATCCATGTTGCAATGAATGGCAGAATTTCATTCTTTTTTATGGCTGAGTAGTATTCCACTGCGTATATATACCACATTTTCTTAATCCAGTCATCCATTGATGGATATTTAGGTTGGTTCCAACTCTTGGCTATTGTAAATAGAGCTGTGATAAACATGGGTGTGTAGGTATCCCTTCCACATGGTAATTTCCATTCCCTTGGGTATATACTCAGCAGTGGAATTGCTAGATCATATGCCAGTTCTATCTGTAGTTGTTTGAGGAACCTCCATACTGTTTTCTATAACGACTGCACCAATTTTCAGTCGTATCAACAGTGTAGGAGGGTTCCCCTTTCTCCATATCCTTGCCAGCATTTGTTATTCTCTGTCTTTTTGATAACGATCAGTCTAACTGGGGTGAGATGATATATCAATGTGGTTTTGATTTGCATTTCCCTGACGCTTAGTGATGCTGAGTACATTTTCATGGGTCTGTTGGCAATTTGCATATCTTCCTTTCAGAAATGCCTATTCAGCTCTTTTATCCATTTTTTAATCACGTTGCCTTTTTTTTTAACCATTTAGTTGTTTGAGTTCCTTGTATATTCTTGATATTAATCCCTTGTCAGATACATAGCCTGCAAATATTTTCTCCTATTCTGTAGGTTGTCATTTCACTCTTAGTGGTTTATTTTGCTATGCATTAGCTTTTTAGTTTGATGTACTCCCACTTGCTTATTTTTTCTCTTGTTGCCTGTGCTTTTGGGGTCTTATTCATAAAGTCTTTGCCCAGTCCTACTTTCTTTCTTTTTTTTTTTTTTTTTTTTGTCCTTTTTGAGACTGGCCGCACCACGCTCAGCCAGTGAGCGCTGTGAGCGCACCGGTCATCCCTATATAGGATCCGAACCCATGGCAGGAGCGCTGCTGCGCTCCCAGCGCCGCACTCTCCCGAGTGTGCCATGGGCTTGGCCCCCCGTCCTACTTTCTGAAGTGTTTCCCTATGTTTTCTTTTAGGAGTTTTATAGTTTCAGGTCTTATAAGTCTTTAATCCATTTTGAGTTGTTTTTGGTATATGGTGAAAGATACGGGCCTAGTTTCGTTCTTCTGCATATGGATGTCCAGTTTTCCCAGAACCATTTATTGAAGAGGCAGTCTTATCCCCAATGTGTGTTCTTGGTGCCTTTGTCTGGGTTCTCTCTTCTGTTCCATTGGTCCAAGTGTCTGTTTTTATGCCAGTACCATGCTGTTTTGGATATTATAGCTTTGTACTATAATTTGAAGTCAGGTAGTATAATGCCTCTGGCTTTATTTTGGCTGTTGTTGAGGGTTACTTTGTATATTTGAAGCTGTTTGTTGTTTTGTATGAATGTTAGGATTGTTTTTTCTGTTTCCGTGAAAAATGTCATTGGTATTTTGATGGGGATTGCATTGAATCTGTAGATCAATGCTTTGGGTAGTATGGACATTTTCACACTGTTAATTCTTACAGCCCAAGAGCATGGACAGAGTCTTTCCATCTTTTTGTATCCTCTTTAATTTCTTTCAGCAGGGATTTATAATTCTCATTGTAGAGCTCTTTCACCTCCTTGGTTAAATTTATTCCTAGGTATTTTATTTTTTTGGTGACTATTGTAAATGGGCTTGCTTTCTTGATTTCTTTTTCTGCTAGTTCATTGTTGGAGTGTAAAAATGCTACTGATTTGTTTGTGTTGATTTTGTATCCGGTAACTTTACTGGAATTGTTTTTCAGCTCTAAGAGTTTTTCAGTAGAGTCTTTAGGTTTTATATAGCATCACATCATCTGCAAACAGGTTCCCATCTGGATGATCTTTATTTCTTTCTCTTGCTTGCTTGCTCTGGCTAGTACTTCCAATACTGTGTTAAATAGGAGTGATGAGAGTGGGAACATTCAAGATGATATTGGCAGTGAGTTTGTTTGTCATATATGACTTTTATTGTGTTGAGATACTTTTCTTCTATACCTAATTTGCTGAGTCTTTATCATGAAAAAATGTTGAGTTTTGTCAAATGCTTTTTCTGCAACTCTTTAGATCGTCATATGGTTTTTGTCCTTGATTTTGTCGATGTGGTGTATGACATTTATTGACTTGTGTGTATTGAGCCATCCTTGCATCCCCTGGATGAATCCCACTTGATCGTGGTGTATAATTTTTTTTGATGTTTTGTTGATTGACAATATTTTGTTGAGAATTTTTGGATCTATGTTCATCAACAATACTGGTCTGTAATTTTCTTTTTTTGTTGTATCTTTGTCTGGTTTTGGTATCAGAGTGATGCTGCCTCATAGAAAGAGTTTGGGAGAATGTTTCAATTTTTTGGAATAGTTTGAAGAGTATTGGTATTAATTCCTCTTTAAGGTTTTGGTAGAATTCAGCACTAAAGCCATACAGTCCTGGGCTTTTCTCTGTTGGGAGATTGCTGATTAGTGCTTCAATATCATTGTTTGTTATTGGTCTGTATTTGTCCATTTCTGTTGCTTATAACAAAATACACATAACGAGGTAATTTGTAAGAAAATGAAATTTATTGCTTACAGTTTTGGAGGCTAGGAAGTCAAAAGTCCAGGGAACCCTCCAGTGAGGGTCTTGGTGGTGGCAACAGTGACCCAGGGGTCTCATGTGGCAGAAAATGGTAGAAGAGAGACAGACTAACCTCTCATGTACTCTTTTTTTAAAGCCCTCAGAACCATGCTCATGACCACCATTATTAATCCACTCACTATGGGATTGTTCTACAAGCTGATCATCTCTTTGAGGCCGCACCTTTCAATTAACTTAATAGGATGTCCCACCCTCAACAGTTACAGTGGGGATTTAAGCTTCAGTGAGTTTGGGGGGACATTGCCCCTGACCTCCCCAAAACTCAAGTCTTTTTCACATACAAATACATTCATTTCATCCCCAGAGTCTTAATTTGTTTCTACTCAAAAGTCTAAAGTTCAAAGTCCCATCTGTGAGATCAAAACAAGTTATCTATTTCCAAGATACAATGGTGGGACAAACATAGGGTATATATTCCCATTCAAAAAGGGAGAAATAGGCCAAAAGAAAAGGGTAACACGTCCTAAGTAAATCCAAATCCCAGCAGAGCAGCATTAAATCTCAAAGCTGGCAAATCATGTACCTTGACTTCATGTTCGATGTCCTCTGCACACAAGTGTAGGGGTTGTGTCCCCAATTCCTTGAGAACTTGCTTCTGTGGTTTTCCTGGTCTTAGGCCATACTTCACCTCTCCCCAGCTGGAATTCCACTCTACAAGCTCCATAAGTCTGGAGTCTCCATGGCATTCCCACTCTCACAGCTTCATTAGAAATGGCACTGGTGGGATTTTTCTGCTGTAACTCTGACCCCACATTTTCACCCAGCATTGCTTTAGTGAAGGCTCTATGTGATGAATCTGGTCCTGTGACAGATCTCTTCTTGGGTCCCCAGCCTTTTCCATACGCCCTTTGAAATTGGAGTGGAGGCTCCCATGACTTCCCAGCTCTGGCTTTCCATGAGCCTGCAGACTTAACACCACATGGACACTGATAAGGCTTCTGGCTTGTATTTTCCAAAGCCATACGTCTAGCCACACCTGGAGCCAATTTAGCCACATTTGGAGCAGCCAAAGCAGTTGGAGTTGCTGGTGTAGGGAGCACTCTCCCAAGGTGGCCCTGGGCAGCAAGCCCATGGAGGGTGCCTTGGCCTGTCCCTAAGACCATTCTGTCTCCCTAGGCCTCTGGGCCTGTAATGGAAGACATAGCCTCCAAGATCTCTGAAATGCCTTCAGGGCATTTCTCCCATTATCTTGGCTATTAGCACCTTGCTGCCACATAGCCATGCTAATGTCTTTACCAACAAGTCCCTCTGTTGCACCATTGGATTTTTCTCCTGAAAATGCTCTCTGCTTCTCTACCACATGGCCAGGCTGCAAATTTTCTAAATATCTGTGCTCTGCTTCCCTTTTAAATTCTGGCTTTATATCATGCTTTTGCTGCCACAACTCAATGTAGGCTATTAAAAGTAGCCATGCGGCTTCCTTAATGTTTTGCTGCTTAGAAATTTCTTCTGCCAAGTACTCTGGTTCACAACTCTCAAATTCCAATTTCGACGAAGTCCTAGGATATGGACCCAATGCAGCCAAGTTCTTCACCAGTTCATAGCAAGGTTGATCTTTGCCCCATTTTCAAATAATTCTCTTCTCATTTACAACTGAGATCTCCTTAGAGTGGTCTTTATAGGCCATATTTCCATAAGCATTCTGGTCACCACCATTTAACCAGTCTCTAAAACATTCTAAACTTTCCCTAGTTTTCTTGTCTTCTAAATTCCCACCAGCAGCAAGGCTTTTTCTACCCTCCTCCTCCAATTATTTCTAGCCTCTCCTCAACATCCAGTTCCAAAGCTGCTTCCACATTTTCAAGTATTTGTTATAAGCAGCATCCCACTTCTCTGGTACCAGTTTCCTGTATTAGTCTGCTTCTGTTGCTTATAACATAATACACAGAACTGGGTAACTTGCAAAAAAATGAAATTTATTGCTTACAGTTTCAGAGGCTAGGAAGTCCAAAGTCCAGTGAACACAGTCAGTGAAGGCCTTAATGGTGGTGACAGTGACCCAAGGGTCTCACATGGCAGAAAATAGTAGAGCAGAGAGAGACTAACCTCTCATGTGCTCTTCTTTTAAAGCCTTCAGAACCACACCCATGACCACTGTAGTGGATTGAATTATGTCCCACCAAAACTCATTGAAGCTTGAATTGTGTCCCCCAAGTTTTATGTATTAGAAACTTGGCCCCCATTGTGACTGTTAAGAGGGTGGGAAATCCTGTTATGGTAATTGAAAGGAGGAGCCTTAAAGA